GTTCCACTTATATCTCGCTTGCGTTTATGTATTTCTTTTTATCAAGTACTTTTCTTGATTATTCACATCTTGTCTTCAATCGAGACTCAAATTGAAATAAATATGGAAATGATCAGAATGGTAGGTACTTACTTTTGAGTTTCATGGAATTATTTTCCAGCAGCTTTACTGCATCAACCTTTCACGTTGAAATTAAAAAAACGGTATTCATGAAATATCATAAACATCCTCACACCATTTAGGTTGACATTTGCTACAGTTATTTGAAGTAATGAGACGCTTATTTAGCCCTAACTAGATTGAAACTATTAGTCTCAATTTGTACCCCAACCAACAATATTGGGAAAAAAATACGCCACTCACTTCTTCTGGATTTTCACTTTTCTAGATCAATCAACTGAAAAGGCAACTTTTCAGTCGCTTGTGTTTTCTCCATATCTAGCTTTGTTTTCGAGAAAAAAAATTGAAGCCACTTTGCATATCACGAATACCAACTATGAAGACAATCTGCCAGTGATAGTGTTGTCATATCAGTGAAAGTTGTCAATTAGTTTGTTAGCCGGACAAACGTTCGTAGGAACTTTTTTATTGAAACGATCCTCTGAAGAAAACACCCTGTAAGACCATCGCGTCCTTGCTTGTTTGTGCGAGAAATGATTGACGGCAAAACAGAAGAGAAACGATATATTTGAGTATGTAAGTCCTAGAAACACCAAAAAGACCAATTGTCAACGGACTCTTTCCTCGAATTTTTTCCAATATTTTAAATTAGAAACTTCTTCCATAAATATATGTTACAAAAAAGATTTGAAGTTTTTTAACTAATATTTATTATATGCGAGCGCTCTTGACAGCTGGTCGTGCTATCATCATCAAGGATCTACTTGTTTTCTTCTTTCTTTGGACGATTCCCACATTTTTTGTATAAAAGTGGAGGAATACAAAGCAAAACTCTTTCTTCCTCAATAATTCATTTCATTGTTTGATGCAGGTTATTCTGTAAGAATATGATTTTTTTCATGAAATATAACAAGTAATTACCACCTGAAAGCATTGACATTATCCAAGATACACCCTCTATAAGGGATACTATATATAACAAACTATGCGATTAATTGGAATTGTTCTGNGTAATTACCACCTGAAATTATTGACATTATCCAAGATACACCCTCTATAAGGGATACTTTATATAACAAACTATGCGATTAATTGGAATTGTTCTGTCATTCATTCAGGATGTTGGTGAAAAGCATACTAGGAAAAATATCATAGTATGATTTTGAGAAATACTTTGGCTATGATAGAATGTTTTAGTTTTACCATATGTTTCATTCATGAAAATTTGTTGATGTTTTTTCTTATCATTATAAGGTTGAAATTTGGTCCATAATATTTCACCTTATAAAATGTATGAACAATTCGTTAGTATTTCATCTGATATACAGTAATGAAATTGTTCAACATAACAGAAACTATTAATTAAATAATCGGATAATTAGCCAGTGATGACCGTTCTGATTAATACGACCGCAACTGATAACCTGCATGATTCTACTCCATCTCACGCTAACATGATTGAAGTGAGAGGTTCTGTACTATTCAAATTGAAGTATCGAAAATTAATCATATGAAAAGAGAGAGTATAGTGTTTGCTTGATTTTCAAATGAAAACTTTGTCCCTCTACATGCAACAAGAAAAGGATCATATTCGCGTCAACATCAAGTATTTTGAAAAACGTAATTTGGAATATTCTCTTACTTTTCACACATAAGCTCTTACCACAACATAATCAACTGAAAAATAGTGGAATATTTATGGAATCGTGAAAGTCAGTTGGGGTCATTTCAATCAGATCGTTACATTCATTAATTCGATATGGTTTTTGGAGAGAGAGAATATTTATTCCACTCCTATCTGAAATGTACCATAACCCAAACCAATCAGATTCAATCACAATCTTTGAAAAATTATTATGGATTTTCATAATCGAAATGTTAATGAATAGTTGAGTTTCGTTTGTTTGAAAGTGGTTGACAATGTTTCATGGTTAATGTTACTAGTTCGAACTCCCATTGTCTATTATGAATCTAATATCATCCGAAGTCTATGATAGAAACAAATAAAAGTAGAATGAGTCGCTGAAATATCGATGATACTGAGCAAAAAAACGTGAAATGAAAATACAATGAAACGAATAAAATAATCAAGGTTATGAATGGAAATGACCACAGAGTGAGAAAGGAATGGAAAGAAACGTAAATAAGCAAAGAAATATAGAAAAAATTGAAAAGAATTCAAACCGAGTTACTTCACGACGTTTAGATTATTTATATTTACAATCGTATCTAGTCATCACCCGAAGACAATTGTGGATACTAATAATAGGAACGTCGTGGAGTAAATTGGTTTGGAATTGTTTTAATTCATTTTATTTTCAATTATTTTTACTGCTTTATTTTTTTGCTCATTTTTATTTTTGTTCCCTTCTATTGCTTTTATTTCTGTTGTAATTTGATTTTTTTTATCATGATTATTTTATTTTATTGGTTTTATTGCTAATATATGATTGATATGTTAGCTATTCATTCTAATTTTATATGTTCTTTTATAGACACCATATTAGACAACTGAAGTCCAAACTATGAACTTCACCTGCGTGGATACAGTTGCAGCTTCACACCTTGTTGCTATTTCCAATTCCACTAGTGCAGCTGCTATGATTGCGGAAAAATCTAAATTTCAGAAATACTCCACTTTGCTAGATTCCTACTGTTTCTTTCCTTTTGCTATTGAAACCTTTGGTGTTTTTGGATCTCATGCTTCTGAATTGTTGAAAGAAATTAGTAAAATAATGATGAATTCTACCAATGAATGAATGTTGTTTATTGATAGTAAATGAACATACTAAAGTAATACACGACAAATACAATAAATATTACAATGAACCAACAGAAGTTGTTCAGAGCTTCAACAACTTGTACGTGGTAACACAACACATAATTACATTTTTTTAATAAATTTAGTACACTAAACACAATATTCTATCACATAGGTTGTATGTTAGCTATTCATTTTAATTCTATTTGTTCTTTTATAGACAACATATTAGACAACTGAAGTCCAAACTATGGACTTCACCTAGGTGGATACAGTTGCAGCTCCACACCTTGCTGCTACATCTAATTCCACTGGTGCAGCTGCTATGATTGCAGAAAAATGTAAATTTCAGAAATATTCTACTTTGCTACATTCCTACTGTTTCTTTCCTGTTGCTATTGAAACCTTTGATGTTTTT